TGTCTCAGAGTGGATCCAGAGTGCACAGCATCTCAGACTTCTCATACCGCTTTGAAAATTTCCTTCAGTGAACTGATTTAAGAGGTCTAAGTAAGAAATCTAGTAAATATGTCCAAGCAACCAGTGGGCATCACTGAAATATCTACTCATCAGCCAGTAGGGTGGGAAATGCATTTCCTATCCATTTGTCTCTGTAGGACATAAGAACATAGGACAAGCCTGTTGGATCAGGCCAATGGTGCAGCTATTCCAGTGGCCCACCAGATGCTTGTGGGAAGTATGCCCACCTGTGGTTCCCTGTAACTGGGATGCAAAACATACACATCTTGACTGGTAGCCATTGATAACTTTGTCCTCCATGAATTTGTCTAATCTTTTAAGCCCCTGAAGTTGGTGGCCATCACTGCATCTTGTAGGAGCAAGTTCCGTAGTGCTGTGTGAATAATTACTTTCTTTTATTGGTCCAGAATCTTCCATCATTCTGCATCATTGAATGTCCATGAGTTCTAGTGTTATGAAAGAAAGAGACAAAAACGTTTCTCTATCCGATTTCTTTGTGCCTTTATGCCTTGCAGAATTTTATCATGCAACCTCTTAACTTTTTTTGTAAACCAAAAAGTCCCAAATGCTGTAACCTTTCTTCTGGGTGTAATTGAGTCCACTTTATACATCTCTCCATTTGGAGGACTGTCCATTGACTCCTCCTGTATGCTTCCTGCTACTTAGCCAATTTCTGATCCATAAGAGGGCTTCGCCTCTCATTCCATGACTGTAAAGCTTGCTCAGGAGCCTTTGTGCGGTACCTTGTCAATGAGATGCAGCAATTCAAGCTTCACTTGTGAAAGTGGAGGATCTTGGTTGGACTTCCGTAGGAAACACTTGACTTCATACGCTGTGGTCTATGATGACTCTAAACAAGGAGAAAGCCCCATGATCTCAGCTTGCTGACACAGCTTTTACAGGTAGCAACTTCCTATGCTTTCGGCTTCCTCTCTTTCCAAACGCCTCCCCTTTCTGTCCTTCCTTTCTCAATACAGTAAAGAGATTTCAAGATGCCTGGAACAATTTCAATATTGGTTTTACCAGCAGCGTGTGCTTATGAAGTCAGAAGACAGTGGTTTACCAAAGCCACTGAAAAAGGGACAAGTAGCAGTGACTTCAAGTTACAGCAAAGAAGATAAAAGTTGGAACAGCAACTGAATCTGAACTGGAAACCCCCACAATGTCATCTGAAGCTATGTACACACTCATTGTACCAAGTGTAATCCTACTAGGAGCACAGGGATTGTAAAGCTTGGCTTCCTGTGTTGTGTGAATGCTTGACATTTTAGATTATTTATAGATACAGACAAAATACAGGATACTAAATGATGTATCCAACATGATGGATGCCTTCCAAGGTGATGTTGGACTACAACTCCCATCATCCTTGACTGTTGGCCATGCTGGCTGGGGCTGGTGGGGGTTGTAATCAGGAAACTTCTGAAAGGTCCCAGGTTCCCCATTGCTGTACTATACAATGAGCTGGGACTATTGCGGCTTGGATAGATGTAAAACATTTTTTAAAAGCATCCCTTAAAAACAGCAATTCTCCCCAAAAATGACATTATAGGTTTTTAAGCCACCTCTGCCAACTCCTAGCAATAACCCTGCTCAATGAGGAGACCTGTGTGAGGCCTTTAACATGTTGGGAGTACTGGGCAGTTGTTCAAGCATGCCCTTGGATTGATCTTCCACTAATGAGCTTTGTCATCTTAAAGCTGTGCTTTCTCATTTGCTCTTTTCGTTAACTGCCAGCGTCCATGGCAGCCGTGGCACTAATTGGGCAATAGCTTCTTCAGTAATCCAAGCAGCACAGTGCTTCATTTCATGCCCTTGTAGTGAACTCCTGTGAGCCTTAAAGGCATTCATGTCTACTACATATATCAGATGGGGACTTCAAAGCATTTCTTAACAGAAGCAAAGTCAGTTTCACTAGCATGGTATTGTCTTTGCAAAGACTTCCCGTACTCCTTTTTATTAGACTAGTAGTAGTAGTAGTAGTAGTAGTAAGCTGTTAAATTGAAGTTAAACCCTACAACCCACAAACTTCTATGTGCTTGTTTTTCATTTAATCTTGTGAGAATTATTTTTGAGAGGCAAGAAAATATAATCCAGGTTGAGATAGAATTTTATATGGAATGAGGGACCAAAGGCTCATCTAGTGGCTACTACATGATTGGCATAGTGTATTGGCATAGTGGCTACTGCATGATTCTTAGAATCTGGTGGTCTGCCTGGAAGGTGAGCAGGATGGAACAGAAGTGATTGGGGAGGAGGCTTTTCCTTAGAGAAATAAAGCCGTGGCTGGTGGCAAAACAGGGGAAGGTCTGGAGTTAAGTGATCTGCCAAGACCTGAAGCAATTTTCAAGTGGTCCAGGGGAAACCATGTTTGGTAACTACTGCTCTAAAGAGTACATATGATGTAGAAGGTGAATTGCCAAAAGCTAGCTCCAAGTTCAATAAAATAGTTGCAGTATCTTACATTGACTTTTAATCCTTTCTTCTTCTAATCCAAGTAATCCTGACCAGGTGTGGACAGACACCTACCTTTAAAAAAACACAACCAATATATTTTCATAGTATTGTAAATGTTTCCCTCCTTGCAATTAGGGATGTTGACAGAAGCTTAATGTGGTATTTGTTAACGCTAGAGAGAAAGAGAGAAAAAGCCTGCAATGCTGATCCAGTAAGAACCTCAGTGCAGAGGAATATTTTAAGCCTCATATGTTTTATAGGTTGTGTTGCTACATATTTAGCGTCATTAAAGTAAAGCCTCTGCAATAAATATGTGTAAAGTACACACTGCTGCATATATGGTGCAATTTGTTGTTGTTAATGCTGATGGACTGGTTTGTGTATCTGAGCAACATAGCTAAATTATAGGTTACAGGATACAGAAATTATGATGAGTTAATAGCATCTAAATTGCTTATGGTTTTGGATTATTTGACCTATATAAAAAAGCCATCACGGTGATGAAAAACTCTGCATGGAAGCCATACAATGCCCAGTTTGGTTTCTCTTTCCCAGATTGCGTATGACTTTGTTTTCAAGCATCCGACTACATTTAGGTTGTGTTTTACTATTTTAAAAAGGCGCTAAACTGTTGCCATGCTTGAGCCTCAGTATAAATTTCACCACTACAGATGAATGCAGTTTAGCTTTCTTTCTTTTTTAAATGCTGAAAAAATGGCATTGGGATATCCTAAGGCAGCCCTCCAGATGTTTTGGGACTACAACTCCCATCATCCCTAGCTAACAGGACCAGTGGTGAGGGATGATGGGAGTTGTAGTCCCCAAAACATCTGGAGGGCCGAGTTTACCTATGCCTGTCCTAAGGACTTTTCCTGTGTTTCAGCCATTTTGCCAGGTGTGAGGTAAAGAGATGTATGTAATGAGCAAATCATGATGCTGCTTCCTCAGCAAAGTCTGCCTACCCCATTCAGGCAAAATGACATACACCCTGACAGTCACACTTTACCAAGAACAGTTTCTATTTTCTGGTTCTTATTCATAAAACCATTGACTTAGATACTAATTAGGCATCCATGAATAGAAGGTCTCATTGATGGAACCAAGATCTGGCAGACAATTCCACCAGCGAAGGTGGGGGTGGAAGAGGAGGCTGCAATTTTTGTTGAGTCCCCTCTTTATCCTGTAGCCCACAGCATCCCTCATCATGCAGCTCTGGAGGGCCTCCAACCCTCTAGCACAACTGTTAGGGGGCAGACAGGACTTCAGGAGGAAGAGGGAACCAACAAAAGTAGTATCTGTCCCCTCTTCCACTTGCATGATTGGAGTGTCAGATGATTGGACCTTCAAACAGGGTCCCCCCCCCCTTCTCCTTCCAGTGGTTCCAAACTCAGAATCCTAGCCACTGTCCCCATTCTTGCCCGTTTGTGATGCCTTGATGATTTTTTTTTTGTTGCTGCTAGTTTTGTCATTCCTCACAGTTTTATGTTTCCGAAGTCTCTAGAAGTTAAAACTCTGAGTGGGTGGATGCATTATCTGTAAAGAAGGACATCATGGCAAGGTGAAGAATAGCCTAGCCACATCCACCAGCCAGAGAAGGAGCACCTTCAGAGAGTTTACATTGTTCCCTCATTTTTCAAAAGAACTCTCTGTTCCAACCCTCAGTTGTCCGGGCAATGGAGAGGAGAATGGAAATATATGATGGCCCTGTCCATCAGCCAGGAGACTGAGGGCTATTGTGTTGTGGGTGTTATAATAGGTTTTGAGATTTGTTTTGTTTTAAATTAACCTGTTGCTTTTAGGCTGCCTTTAGAATGATTCAGAAACAAGATTGCACAATAATCTAGATGCATACCAAATAGACTTGGATATATTCCCCCCACCTCCACTCCGACAGTAGGAAAGTTGCCTGAGAAGAGTTCTGCTCAGGGAGTGCTTTCACTAGTGGAAGGTGGTGGAGAGAGAGGGAGAGAAAGCAACTTTTACAGGTCCTCACCACAGTCCCTTGCACCCTCCAGCAATCTGCAAGCCTCTAAACAGTGTCCTGTACCTCTCTGTACTAGTTTGGTTTTCTGATATTCATTTGTGTGTCATGTTTGTTACTTGATGCCCTGGCCTCTTATGAGAGGAAGGCCAGGATAATTTTTTTTTATTTTAAAAAGAAGCATTTAAGTTTAAATTAATAATTATTAATATTTTTTAGAAATATTAAAGTTATCATTAATTAATGTACTAGATTCCTCAGGGTTCCTTCCAACTCTACAGTTCTAGGATTCTATGCTAAATTTACAAATTTAAATACTAAATTATTTAAATGATTATAAAAGAAAATCTGTCCTGGAGTTCTGAACATTGTAGGTGGTGATGCTGGGGGCTACAGGGGGAGTTTGCAAAAGTCTTGCTGCCACCTTCTGTCAGTGGGATTCCTCTAATTGATCAAATGCCTTCCAAGGATGGAAGGAGCCCATATACCCCCTTATTTCATGGGAATGTCTGTAGCTCAGTGGTAGAGCATCTGCTCTGCAATCAGAAGGTCCCACTTTCAATCCCCAGGGTCTCCAGGGTGGGCTGGAAATGTCCCTTGCCTGAAACCCTGGAGAGCCAGTGTCAGTCAGTGAAAATACTGAGCTTAATGGGCCAACAGTGTGACTCAGTGTAAGTCAGCTTCCTATTTTCCTATCCGGTTCCCTTATACAACAAGGGACTTTCCATTTCATGGCCTGCAGTTACTGTGGCATATTCTGAACTGGTAAACCTAACTGTCCAATACAACACCTGTGCTATCCGTAGCCTTAACAGAAAGAACCACCACCCCCTTGGCTTTTAAATGAGTGGAAGACAGCGTATTGTATTGGAAAATAAATAAATGCAGCTGTTCGGTAAATAGTACTTTAATAATGTATAAGAGTAGTGGCAGGGGAGATTGTGAAGACTCTTCGTAAGAGTACAGTGGTACCTCAGGTTAAGTACTTAATTCGTTCCAGAGGTCTGTTCTTAACCTGAAACTGTTCTTAACCTGAGACACCACTTTAGCTAATGGGGCCTCCTGCTGCCGCCATGCGATTTCTGTTCTCATCCTGAAGCAAAGTTCTTAACCCAAGGTAATATTTCTGGGTTAGCGGAGTCTGTAACCTGAAGCGTCTGTAACCCGAGGTACCACTGTACAGGGGAGTCCTGTACAGGGGAGTCTTTTGCTTTCATCTGTGTGACATGCAGCTAGAGGCTGTGTAATTATTGGGTTGGTCTCAAGTGTCAAGTTAGATTGGAGATGCAAGGGGAAGGAGTGTATTTCTCTGAATAATAAAAGTTGAGGTTCCTAGGTAGGAGCCCACTGTGAAGGAACATAGTGAATCCGGAGACAGGAAAGAGAGGTTGCAGATGTAGGTCACGTCTGCCAAGTTAGGAAAGGGGACGTATTGTTAAAATAGGTGTGGACGTTGCTCAGCATTGCATTGTGGGGTGGAGCACAAGACCTGACTAAGGGTGATGGATTCCTAAAATTAACTCTGCAATTAAGAGAAGGAATTCTAGACTTTTTGTTATTTTAATGCACACCTAGCTATTGTTCCAAATGGTCTTTTAATTTTAGTGATTTTCTGTTGGTAGTACAATGAACACAAAGTTGTTTAGCAGGTGAGTTCTTAAGTGTGCGCCTTATGTGCAGGTTACCATTTCTAAACAGAGGAATGAAGCAGCTTCTCCTTTCTTCCTACAGACTTCATTTCTGCCTATGTAAACTACCAGGCATGTTTCTCTGATATATTGAAGAGATACTTTCTATTCCTTTATTACCCAACCACATTCTTTGTTCCATTAAAAAACCCCTCTCTACTCCATCTGCCCCATTGTCAGAACAGGTACCACTTTTATGCAAAAATAGCACTTGGCCACACCTCTCATTGGTTCTGCTGTGCCTTCTTTGAGCGCTTTTGACTAGCTGGAATGTGTCCTTGAACTGCCCAAGTCTCCTGCAGCCTGGATGGAGTGGGGGGCATAGAAACCTTTGACCTTTGGATGGCTGGAATATCAGGCACTGTAGGTAAGAGTTACAGCTACAGCTCTGCTGACTTTTGCCCTTGGCACCACCATTTTCGGGCTGAAAGTGTTTCTTCACCCCAGGTTACATGAACAGGATTAACTAAACCACTAATTTAATTAAGCTCCAGCAGACAGAATGTCCACTCAGCCACTAGGAAGCTGAAGTATTCTCTGCTGACCAAATCTAGCTGCTCAAACGACAAGCAAAGCTGCCAGCCATTCTGCGTGACTGCCTGCCGAAACACTCACTTGGAGATGTAGAATCCATAGGTTTTCCCATTGTGGCAGGTCTGTTAGAGTAACCATACTTTCAGAGGTGTAAAGGATTCTGCCCAAGAGGCACAGAGTGATTGCTGCTGGCCTGCATAGCAATTCTGCTTCTTATACTGTAGTTGTTTCAGCTTGTAATACTGATTTCATTGACTCCACTCAAACCCGACATAATTCAGAAACACACGCTACTGCTCTATTGTGTGTTGAAGATTTTAGTAACTTTGTTCTTCTTTTCCCGTATACAAAAGTAGTGCACCTATACATAAAATGATATGCTTAACTTTTAAAGGAATTCTCCTGCAGCCTACATTAGTCTTTCTTAAAGTTTCTAGCCACTAAGAACATATTCCAAAGAAAGCAAAGCAAAAGGCATACGTTAACACAAAAGAAACATGCTACAAGTTTCCATTTCTATGAGCATCCTGTATATGAATTGGCTAATTTAATAAACGTAAAGGTAAAAGACTCATAGATGGTTAAGTCCAGTCAAATTTGACTGTGCGGTGCAGCGCTCACCTCTGCTTTTCGGCTGAGGGAGACAGCATTTGTCCTCATGTGGCCAGCATGACTAAACTGCTTCTGCTGCACAGAACACCGTGACAAGTGCCAGAGTGCATGGAAACACTTCCCGCCACAGTAGTACCTATTTATCTACTTGCACTGGTATGCTTTAGAACTGCTAGGTTGGCAGGAGCTGGGACAAAGCAACGGGAGCTCAACCCATCGCACAGATTCGAAATGCCAACCTTATGACCAGCAAGCCCAAGAGGCTTGGTGGTTTAGACCACAGCGCCACCCACATCGGATGCAGGATGCTCATAGAAATGGAAACCTGTTGCATGTTTTTTGTGTGTGTTAACACATACCTTTTGCTTTCCTAACATTTTTATATTGCCCTTTCTCTAAGTTGCTCAAGGCGCTTCATGTTTCTTCCCCATCCCAATCCCCCCAAATATGGTGATATTTGAGACATAAATCTGAAGAGTTGACCTGGCTGGAGTACAACCCAGTAGCTGTCCTTTGGATAGATTGCCTGGGTGTGCTATTTAAGTGCTTCCAGTCCCCCACTATATACATGAGCATGGGCTTTATAACATGAACAAATCACTCCAGTGATGAATCCTGGAGCTGAAATGCCACACCGAGAATCTGGGAAGCTGCCAAGTGATCTGCCCTTAGACATTTGCATTCAGGCTTAAATAGCTGAGCTGCAGGAGCGACAGAAATCTTTGTTTTAAGTCTCCCGCTGGACAGAGACTCCACGATCCCAAGATGATTACTTAGACGGCATTGCAGCATGGCTGGGTAGCTCTGTTAATCAGTGGCTTCTGCAGCTTTGCTTTCGACTTGCAGCTGACATCAGTGGCCAGGAAGGGGGAGAGAATTAACTTCCTGTGTCTAAAGCTGAAAAGGCAGCTATGGAGGGGCAAGGGAGGAGAAGAGATGAGTCAGTTCTTCTAGGGCTCTGTAACAGTCAGCCTCAAACGTCTGCGCATCGGAAGCTATCACTGGGACAGCTTTCTGCTTGATGCCATTTCATTTTTTTTTTTTAATAATAATATTTATTCCAAGTTTAAAGTTACAAAAAGAAAAAAGAACAATACAAAATACAGAAAAGAATATAACAATAACAGAGAGAGAAGAAAAAAAGAAGAAAAAAGAAGGTATAAAAATACATTCAATTGAAATAGAATAAGAACAGATTAAACCTTTACATAACTTTTTTCCTTTACTTATTTCCTTGACCTCCTCTCACCTCCCAATTTTGTATTCTAGTTCAGCTCGTTTTTTCAGTAAATCCTTCCAACCTTATTTTCATTTACGTAGTTTAATTTAAAGTATTATAATTTAACATCCTCTCTTTCATCAGTTTCATCAACTCATTTTTGCTTAATCCTTTATATCATATCTACCAAAACTGCCTAATTTTCTTTTTCCAACATCTTTCTAACAGTCTTTAATATTACAATATTTTTGAAGATATACTTTAAATTTTTTCCAATCTTCTTCCACCGACTCTTCTCCTTGGTCCCTGCTTGATGCCATTTCAGTCAAGCTAGATGTGACCTTGCCAGCAAAGGTCCGTATAGTTAAAGCTATGATTTTCCCAGTAGTGATGTATGGAAGTGAGAGCTGGACAATAAAGAAGGCTGATCACCAAAGAATTGATACTTTTGAATTATGGTGCTGGAGGAGACTCTTGAGAGTCCCATGGACTGCAAGAAGACCAAACCTCTCCATTCTTAAGGAAATCAGCCCTGAGTGCTCACTGGAAGGACAGATCGTGAAGCTGAGGCTCCAATACTTTGGCCACCTCATGAGAAGAGAAGACTCCATGGAAAAGACCCTGATGTTGGGAAAGATGGAGGGCACAAGGAGAAGGGGACGACAGAGGACGAGTTGGTTGGATAGTGTTCTCGAAGCTACGAACATGAATTTAACCAAACTGTGGGAGGCAGTGGAAGACAGGAGTGCCTGGTGTGCTCTGGTCCATGGGGTCACGAAGAGTCGGACACGACTAAGCGACTAAACAACAACAGATGTGATGGGAGTCCCATCCTTATGAAGCAGGGATACCAGGGCACTTTACAGTAAAATGAGTACATGAGGAAGGGGAGAGAAACAACCCACTACCGTCACTTACTTCACTGTGCTCTCCTGCATTAAGACATTTTCTTAGTTCATGTTCAGTCTTGGAGCCAGGCTAGGGGAGAATGCTGCTTAAAGCAATGGGACGCATGCAGCAAAGTCAGGCAGGGGACAAGAAATGGGCTTCTTTTCCATCCCATGGGCACTCCTTTTCATGCAAAGAGTAAACACGTGCGGACTGAGCAGCCGTGTGGATAAAACTACATGTGACTACACTTAGCCTGTTTGGCTATGAGTAGTTTTGGTTCTGGACAGGGAGGAGCTCTGAACCCCTAATGATGGTTTTAAAAAATTCTAACACTATTTTTTTTAAAACTTGCAGGAATAGGTAGCGCTGGGTAGAATGCAATACACAGAAACATTTTTTAATTTAAATATTTAGAAGTTTTTGTATCATAACATTTAGCAGTTGCTTTGCTACTAAAAGATCTTTCCAGAAACCTGGCCTGGATTCTAGAATGGCATTTTGCTATTCTGCAACCGTTGTTAACTTTACACTTTGTTCACTTGACAAGCTGTGTGTGTGTAACATATAACCTTCAAAGTTAAAACAGCGAAGAAATGAAAGATTTTCTATCCAAAGAATCTCCTGTCCTTGTCA